TTGGGAGATAGGCCAAAGCTTGGCTTATTTTACCTTAAGAACGATGTCTGTCTATTAAATGCTCGATATACCAAACTAAAACCAAATTATTTACAAAGTCTCACAAATACTTTAACATATTATGAGGATTGATCTAAAACATGGAAGTCCTCCTTAAAAAAAAGGTGATTTTAGAAAGCGTCTAGAAATTATCGTGCAGTTTCCGCATTCAAATGAAAAAAATTCCACATAAACTTCCCTTCAAATAAGCAGCCAGCTACTAAACAAAAAATTATCAATCCTAAAATTTGACAATCAATTTAAAAATGTACCAAACCCGTCGCAGGACTTTCATAATTCCAATTAAGTGTGACATTTTAAGGAGACGTTTTTACTATCAATTAAAGTCTACGTAAATGATGGAATCACACCTTTTACATTCGTTTCGCCTTATTTGTATTTGTGTATTCCAACTACAACAAAATGATACATTAAAGCAAAAAAAGGCTTTCGATAAGATTTAAATTTAGGGGATTATTTTTTCAGTTAGTATAACTTTGGCACATTGGAAAGCGGAGTAGAAACATTTTAAATTTTTGATTTCAATAATTTTTTTTTTAAAATTTGGAAATTTGCTGCTCCCTTGCCATTATTTTCACGTACTATTCTATTAATTCAATTAATCAATTCAATTAATCCCAAATATATATCTTACTGAAAACCTTTAAAAAAAATTCCGTATCGAAAAACCACTAACACTCTACTCTCTACCTACATAGATACTATACAACACTCAAAAGCAAAACTATTTCTGTCTCATGTTACTAAAAACAACAACTACACAAGTAAAAACCAATAAAATAACTAGCCCTCCTATAAACATTTTACAAAAAAACAACTGAAAAAATACAAAAATAAACATTAAATTTCCTATAACAAAAAAAAAACAAAGAAAATAAACAAAATATTTTCATTAAAATATATATACAACAAACCAACAGCAAAAGGAACTAAACATTTTTAGAGAATATAAACAAAAGAAATCAAACTCATTAACCAACAATAACAACAAAAATGAAATACATACAAAAAACAAAACAACTGTTAATAAAACTACATTACATATATAAATAAATATAGCGAAATGAAAAGAAAAACCAAACGAAAACAACTATTCATTGTTATAAACTGCAAAAGAAAAACCTAAACCAGAAGCATGACACATTTGTTTTTAGTACACATTGTAGAAAAAAGCGGCAACTTAAAAAATGTTATAACAAAAAACCAAAAAAAAAAAAAAAAAAAAAAAAAAAACAGAAAACAAAAAATTAGGAAACACAATTACCAATAAATTGTATGAAACAAAAATAAATACAATAAATAAAAACAAACGAAGCTAAACTATATAAAAAACTAAAAAAAATACATAACATATTAAAAAATATGAAATTATTATTTAACAAAATTCTAATTTCCATACTTTTAACAAAACAATTTTATTTATCCTCTTTTATATACATCAAAACAAAAAGGTCACCAAAAATAGGAAAATTATATATACAACATCTATATAGTGGAACTTAGTTTAAAGTTATTTACATTAATTTATTTTTTTTTTCTACCTTCACAAACTAGATGATTTTGAAATGAAAAATTATTTCTAAATTTTATTATTTTCTCTTATTTTCCTATAAGTCTTTGTATCTAGTTTTGTGTATACTCCTTACACTATTATTTTCAAATAAATTATTTAGCTTAGCAAAATAAACATTTTTATTTGTCAAAAAAAACCCAAAAAAAAACGCTATGTTTAAATGAAATCAACAGAAAAATTATAGCAAAGGAAATTATTTAAACCAAATAATAACAATACAAATGAAACAACATCAACAACAAACAAAAACTGCAAGTTGTATTTGTTAGAATTGTAAGCAAAAACAACAAACAAAAGATAACCGAAAAAAAAAACAAAGAAACAAATGTAAAAAAATATCTTGTATTTTATTACACGTAAACTAATAAAACCAGAAGGACAGCGTTTGCCTTATAAAATAAAAAAAAATAAATGCAAATGTTGTTTCATTACAAAATGTGGGAGGTACCTTGTAGAGTCAATGAATGCGAAAATATAAAATTAACAAGAAAATACGAAGCTTTTCCGATAATTTAAATTATGGTAAAGTCCCACATTCCCACAAAATCGTTTAACTAATACCTATAAATATACTTATATTTCTGCCACATAAAATTCTACTCGTGACGAAACCAAAAAAAAAACTAATTGAAAAACTGATTGTACCGTTATATGGGCGATATACTAAAACGTGGACCTATTTAGACAATTCTCTTCTTCTAGGTGTTAAAGTACTCAGATGGAACGCCTTGTGTGGATTTTAAGACAAATTCATTAAAAAATTTGGCTGAAATCATCAAAATACCGAATATCGAAAGGTGGATTTTCAGACAAGTCCATTGAAAAAATGATCCAAATATCGGAAGGTGGCGTTATATGGGGGATATACGATATCATGCACCGATATAGCCACCTTCGAACTTGACCTGTCTGCAGACAAAATATTAGGAAGCTAATTCGTTTAATTCATTTTGACTGTAGCGTGATTACAACCGGAGGACAAAATCGTCTTAGAATTTTACGCTGGTCAAAAATATATATACTTTTTTGGGTCTAAAATTATTATTTCGATGAGTTACAAACGGAATGACGAACTTAATATACCCTCCATACTATGTATGGTGAAGGGTATACAAATTGGTCAAAGGTTATGGCCAGGGCCTTTAAAGCGCCAAAGTGTGAAAACATAAATTGAAACAATTTCGTTGATCAAATTTTCATTTGCACCAAAATCTGTTGAAATCTGAGGCTAAAACCTTGGTATTATCGAATTGAGGGAGGCTTGAGGGCAACAAGTTTAGTTAATAAATTATACTAAAACTTTCCTCAAATCGTTGGCATGGGTCTATGAATATTAAACCTACTCACTTTTTGCGAAATTAATCTTTGAAGCCTCATTTATAAGCCGAACATTGTTGCCAATCATATTTGGTATTTTACATTATATGGTGCAAGGTTTGTTCCCTTCCTTATCATTTTGATGCTGACGTTGCGACACAACTTTCTATCTAGAAACATCTTACCTGAAAAAAAGAAGAATAAATCAATTATTCATAATATTAGTTAGATGTAAAATATCGTCTACTTACCTTTAACACTTGATTTCCATCATCTTCCCAGGGAGTATTCTTCGGACCATATCCAATCATTTTGAAAACGCCAAACTGGTGCATAATATTGTATAATAATATTTTTATGGTGTATTTACGACCCATATCTTTGAACTATTTGTGGCGAAATTATGGGGACAATTCCAAATGAACTCTTAAACTCATCCCAAGCATTTTATTACTTGGATTATAAACCGACCGACGTACATATCTTCAATAATGATATTCACCGCGCATTGAACCGAGACGTATCACACCCGAATTTTATTCTTTTTACTCTTTCCACATTAAACGAAACGGATTTTCTTTGATTAATAAAATTATGCTACAATTATTTTGCACAAAAGGCTATTCACAACAACAAAATCGTAGCCATCAATCGCTATTATGGGTTTAGCTTCATTGAATGTTTTCCTTAAATTTAATGAAAAATAACTTTACGTGAAGCAGCCATAATGCCCTCGGCCCACTGGTTTTTCTTCTTTTCTCATTGATTTTAAACTAGAGCTGTGTCCCAGCTAGCTATCTGGGGAGATCGCAACTGAAATAGAGGTTAAAATAATAAATTAATCATTTATAGCTATTAATAGAAGTATTATGCGTACTTACCTTCAGTACTTGATTTCCATCTTCTTCTTAGGGAGTATTTGTATCGTATTTTTCGAAACATTTTGTAAGGGTTGAGATATAGGCATATTGTTTTTCTGGGGGATTAACAACGCTATACCTTTAAACTATTTGTGGTAAAATTGCCGAGACAATTTCTCCTTCATTTTCATTCACTCACACTCATTGCCGGCCGAGGACAAGCTTTCGCCACTGCTTGGATGACCGACCGAAATAAATATGATAAAGCACATTCGTAACAGGCATTGAATCGAGATGTAAAGGATTTTTTTTAACATTTTGAGAAATCGGACAACAAACAATTAGCATTTCAACCGTTATTCACGTATCACACAAAAATTTTATTCTTCTTCTTCTTCTTTTCACATTAAACGAAACTTATTTTCTTTCATTGATTAAATTACACAAGAATACCATGATTTTACACACAATGACAATAAAACATTATTCACAATAACAATATCATAGCCACCCGTTGCTATATATTTTTTTATTTTATTAAATATTATTTAATTTCCGATAAAACTTTTCTTTAACTTCACACGAACGAATTTTATTGCGATAACAATTTCATTATTCTTCTTCTTATTCATAGATTTGGCGCGTTAAGTTAGCTGTTGTTGTGTGGCAACTCGTTGAGAATGTAAATGACGTTTAACTTATTGGGGCACATGGCCACACAGCAAATTATCATCGTAAAACAACCAAATTAATGGAAAGTTATTTATTGGAACTGAAAATGATAATCTGGAGTGTGAATAGCAACACTAGTCAGTCTTTTACAAAAATAATAAATAATCTATTATTTTCGACGTGCCTTGGATCGTAAGAACAAAAAAGGTTAAAAATTTTGAATATCCATGAAGGGCATAAAACGGGAAATTAACATCCGATTAATTTCAGACTTAGTACATCTCAACATTTCTGTCAACACAAGATCTGTTATAAAGATCGGAGCATTTCTTCTGGTACCTCCCATATAAGGGGTCAAAGTTATGAATAACCAAAACGACCTCAAATGTCGCACATGCCATTATTTTTACTAACACACTTGGTACTTCCAGAAATAAGCAAATTTCAAATTTCACACATCTGATTTAAAAAATACTTTTTTAGTAATAAATGGTCATTGAATTTTTAAATTTCCTCTGTTTTTCTTTATTCGAAGATACACATTTACATGTACCAATTTATTGTCAAATTTCATTGTACAAAATATAAACTTAAATGAAAAACGAAAAAACAGTTTTAATCTTAGACCCTATAAACAAAGATTTTTGAAATCATACATTCCGCATTAACAAACGCCATTCATTTAAAAACAATAGTCAAGTAAAGATAAAACTAAAAATGCAATAAAACAAAACTTAAAGTAATTCACAGTTTTGGGGGATTCTAATAATACGAGGGGTTGTTAATATCACTGCATAATAGTATTCCTTATAAAAGAATGTGAGACCAATGAATTTTTCAATTGTTTAGGTTGTTTGAGGCTTCATATCTGTTGTCAGTTGTAAAACAATATCGGCACGAAAGGGATTATTTGTCAATAGAAAAAACGGCAACTTCCTTATTGGTTCTGGCACATTATCATAGGTATTGAGAATTGCACATTTATTGAATATAATCCGATCATAGATTAGCTCATAATCGATACCCTTTTCTTTGAGTTCCAAGAGCTCAGTAAATGTGGGATATTCACCAGATTCGATCATGGCGAACCTAGACGAGATGAAAAATGAAAACAAAAAAATGAATAAGGACGAAAACAAAAACATTGAGCTAAGTGTTTCTGTGTGGGGGAAAAGGGGAAAATCAGTTAGTTATTGGTATAATGAAAAGCTATCTCACGTAGGGAAGTCCTCACGGGGATGATGTACACGTCGTCCATTGTTCTGGAAGTGATTTTAAAATCAATTATTTGTATGGCTCCAAAAACGCAAGTATTTTCAAGTATACCTTTTCAATTCTTGTTTCCAGCCAATCTTCATTGAGGAGGGCATATTTCATTTCCATCATATTTTTATTGATCTGTACCACAGGATCATCGTGGGTATCACAGAGTATCATATAGAATACGGAACTCTACAATAGAATAGAGAAATACTATAGAATATAATAGGAAAATATAGTAAGTGCATCAAACTTGCCTCTCTATCAATTTCTGTTATTTTGGCATAGAGCATTTTCTCCGAAACCAAGGATAGGAAATACATGGTAGCATCATGGCTCCAATGCAGACCACGTGGTTTAATATTCGATAGGCAACCTCTCAATGCTTGGGCCGGCAGTTGTGAAAATGATGTACACAAATATTTAACATCGCATACATCTACATCCGATACAGTACCATAATCCAAAAAGGACACCTTAACTTTATCACTAACCGGGGCAGCAACAATTTCTCCTCTATGCCACATTTCATTGAAGGCTGCAGCACAAATTTGACCAGGATTCAAGCAAGCAATTGGTATGCGTAGTTCATTGGGTCCCAGTGTACCATAAAATCGTTCCATATTGTGCATCAAACCATCAAGTTCATGATTTTCTTTGTGTATGTGAAACCAGAAGCGAAATGGATTGTGAATCTGCGAAAAAAAATAACAGAAAACGGAATTGTCACTACAAATTGAATAGGGGGATTTTAATTTTATTACCTCCGAAATAAATATACGCAAACACGAGCCCACATCAATGTTTTCGGGTATTTCACAAGGTTCGATTTTACGTCCAAAGGGTACGGTATGTTTGGGTAAATCAAGACGAAAGACATTACTGGTCTGAAAGAAAAAATATATAGAAATTATAAAAAAATCAAACTTTTAAAAAAGGTTTACAGAAGAAATATTTAAAAATTCCAAATTTATAAAACTAGAATTCCTAAAATTGGCCTAAAAGTCCTTACAAAATTTCTATTAAAAATCCAAATCAATTTGTCTAAAAGTTCTTGTAAAAATCCAGTCCAAAAGTTCTTGCAAAAAGTATTTTAAGAACCCTCATCGATTGGTCTAAAAGTCCTCGAAAAAAATTAAAACTTCACGACAACCCCAAAGTAACGCCCCTTACATACCGCTGCAAATTCTGGCACAGCTTCATCCATGTCAGTGGCAACTTCCTCTTCGCTTATGTCCAAAAGTTCCTTGAACTTATCGGTGCTGCTGTTCGTCTTCTTTGGCGATTTCACTGGCTGATTCTTCTCATTCACCCCGTGTGCTTCGGATGGGTTTGCAGTATCTTCTATAGGATTCAATTTTTTGCCCGCTGATGTGGCATTTAATATTTTTTCTAAACGTTCCGATAATTTTACTTTGGGTTTTGGTGGATTCACTCCTACCAACGGCGTCTCGAGTTCTTTGGTTTTACTTTCCGCCACAGTAATTTTCATATCATTTTTAATGTCAGGCGAGAATGTGACCTTTCTTGCTGTCGGGGGGTCTGTTATGCGACACGATGAACCCAGCAGACTTTCCAGTTGTTTTACATGCTCTTGATATTTTTCATTTATTTCCGAATCTTTTTGATTTTCCGGTACAGATTTTTGTGTAACGGGTTGGCTGGTTGTGGTCTTTGGTGTTACTGAACTCAATGGAGTTTCGGGTCTTTTGTCAGGTCCTACATATTTTTGATTTCTATTAATACTAGTATTGGCTTGGGTTTCCGTCATATTTCGCTGTATAGGCTGTGTGGCGTTATCCGATGCACCTCGTCTAATTGGATTTTGATGCACTCCTTGTTGCGGAACTTTTCTAGGTTTCATTAAGCTTTCCAATTGTTTTACATGCTCTTGATATTTTTGTATGATTTCCTTATTGCAAACCGGCTGCGTTGGGTTATACACGGGAACTCCAATTACAGGTTGTGGAACATAACCATACATTGGTTTGTTCATATTTCCCATCAGGTTCTGGGCTGCAAGCTGTACATTATTCACAGGCATTTGTACATTTTGTCGTATGGGCATATCTCTAACGGTTAATTTTACGGTTGAAACATTTCTATTGGTTATCTGAAAAGGTGACAATTGCTGCACGGGCATACGATGTCCCGTAAAACTAGCCCTATTGCTATGGCGGTTATTTCGCTGCCTATTCGGTGCACTCATTGCGGTGTTCTGCCTACTTTTCGTTCGCGCTCTTGGTCGTGTTTTCTTTTGGGTCATTATCATTTCATGGATATGTGCGGATTTGTCATTGCCCACAAAATACACCAATGCTGTACGGCCGCTACCCACAACCTGAAAGGTAACACAAAAACTGTATTAATTGCGAAAACAATTGCAGAACCAGTGACTTACAACTAGTGTATCCGGTATTTGCCTTAAAAACTGTTCCATGTTGTTGTAGCCCAACCGGCGAAATGGTATATCCTCACCTTCAATGTCACGATAGTCGCGATTCAATTTGTCTATGGTTATTTTGTCTGGAAATGAAATGACCAGTGATTTGAGGATTGCCTTCACTTGATTTAAGTAGCCACTGTCCATTTTGGGTTCATTCAAAACAAACAAAATCTATAAAAATATTCACGACGCCGCGAATTAGAATTAGAGCTGGCAATTAATTAATGTTACTATCGATATTCCTAATATATATTTTTCGTCAATATCGATAAAAAGTTAATGCAATCGGTTGTTAGCTTTGTTCCTTTACTAGTTAAAGAGAGAAATGTGCTAAGGAAATGCTTCTATAAACAGAGAACTTCGAGAACCTGCAAGAATGAAAAACGCTACTATAATTAATTACAATTTCATGGATTGTGGAAAAGTGCCAGAATTAAAAAATACAATGCGGCTCTCACTTATTTCTCAAAATATACATCGAACGTACACATGATCAAAAAATTCCTTGTCTTCTTCTTCTTTATTTTTTTAGATATTGCAAAAATATGGTTTCCGGAAGTGTAGCCAAGTTTACCTCAACTGATTGTAAATGAATGATTGGCAACACTAAACATAACCATAGCAGCCATGGTAGAAGAATATAGGTAGACGCATCGACTCAGCTGATGGTACAATGAACTGTCAAAACAATTTTGGAATTGAAAATGTTGAATGAAAAATTATTTAAATTTGCAAAAATTGTTGAAAAACGCGATTTATAACAACCTCCGAATGATGTCGTATGAGAAAACATTTAAAAAGCGACTTATATTTGCAAGAACGTTTACAAATTTTGTGACATATCAATGTTCACAATCGTTGATGCATCTACCAATATTCTTCTGCCATGATAGCAGCCATGGTACAATGAAGAGAAGGTAGGCCAACTTCAAAAAAATTGCAAGTATAGAGGTCTACCTGTTTGGCTTGTAATGTCACAATTAGTATCAAAACAATAAAAAATCAAACAACTTGTTGTATTTATTTTGAATAAATAATTGAAAACGCGATAACTAAATGAAAGGTCAACACTTCTTTTCAAAATCATGTACTATATATCTCTAAAGGATTATTTCGCTACAAAAACTCTAGATTTTGTCGATGCATACGTTGAAATAAACATTTTGAAAACACTCGAATTTGAATGTTTTCTGAACAATTTTTTTTATTGAAAAGAAAACACATACATAAACAAAAAAATATGACATATTAAGCCAAGAAAATAAAAAAATTGAAATTATATGGTATCATAGCCCTACCTTGATATCATTGTACCATGATAGCAGCCAAAGTATGTTAAAACACATTTACATAGACTTTTTGTAAGATTATTAGATTAAAGAAATAGCTCGTTAACATACAACATTTTTACCCAATCATAACAAATATACCTCCGTATATTTTCCATAGGGAAATTTATTGTGAATCCCTAATTACATCGGTTAATCCGGATAAAAATGTGTACAAGTTTTTTAATAGCACTTTTATACCAAAACTCAATGAAAAATGTTTCTGAACTTCCTTATAGTGTCAAATAAACTTTTAAATATGCAACAGTTAGCATTGTTTATTTTTTTAACAAAATTCTTATATTGAGAGAAGCCCACGAAACAAGAATCGAATTTCGGGGTTATTCCACAAGATGGAATATAAAATAGTAGGACAAAACAGTTTTTTTACCTCGAAATTTTGCATTTATTTTGCAACCAAATTTGAAATTATTTCAAATTATTGTATTTTTTATTCAAAACAATACACAAAATGTGTATTGGTCTGTTCCAGAACTGCAAGAATGTACAAGTTTTTACGACGATAAGCGATTTTCCCATTTTTGATATCGAAAAAATTGCAAATCTAGTAGAATCTTGTTTTGGAACATGGCAAATTTTTGAACAGGGATGATTTTTGATGAAATTTAAAAATTTTGAATAAAAAATGATTCCAATTTGTAAAATGCATATTTGTTATGTTACCGATTGGTGTCGTATAAGAAAACTTATAAAAATATTCTTATTTTTGAGAAAAAAAAATTAAACATTTTGTATCCAAGCCTTGTTTACCTATATTCTTCAACCATGACACTGCAGAACTGCAAGAATGTAAACATTTTTACTTCGATAACTGATTTTCCAATGGTAGAATTAAGAAGGTAAAGTCATGTAATCATATTTTTACAATTTTTTTATTCATTTGACAACATTTTGCCTTCTTAATTGTACCACGGATTTTTCCTTTATGATATCGAAAAAATACAATATTTATTTTTAATTTAATTTAAATTTAATTTTTTTTGCTTTCCTCTCCTCTAATTGTTTGTTTTTTTTTCTGCAACAAAAAAAAAAAAAAAAAAATGAAAATATTAAAATTAAAAATATGTTCAAAATCAATGATTGGAAGACTCTTACATTGCGGAGCATGTGCTAAATATATTTATGATTGAAAAGTTTGCATCATATTTTTGAAAAAAAAAAAAAAAATCAAATTATTTCATTTATTTTTTGTGCTTTTTTACATATTTGTTTAAAAAATGAGAAAAAAATAGAATTTTTAATAATTCTGAAAGAAGCGGGCACAGCTTTAGGGGTGTTTTTCAATAATAAGAAAAAAACAAAATTAATTTAAAAATTATAGTATTTCATAATTTTATCAAAATTAGTCAATTTACATAAACACTTAGCACTAAATATCATTAATTTTTAAACATTTATTTTTTGTAAAAATGTTTCTCCTTAACAATTAACTGTTCTCACTTTCGGTTGCATTTGCACAACGACGACAACTCTTCTCACTCACGAAAATACAACCCTGCAGCACGTGGTTGGCAACACCGCATGAAGTTGGCTGCCAATAGATAGCTGTCAATAAATTTTTTGTTTTTTCTTTCTTTTTTGACTTCCTTTTGATTGTGAACCAGCTAAAATGTCTAAGAGAGGTGATTTTCATAAAAAAAATATTTAATCTAATTGAATCTAAAAGAAATATTAAAGAATAAAGTGCATGATATACAAAGAATACAATGATTTGATGTGAAGAATTTAATTAAAGTGCTATTTTTGGTGTTTTTCTTTTTTTTTTCTATGTTTTAATTCCAAATGAAATGCAACAAAAGGACGTGGTGGAACTGCGGGAGGAAAATTCCGCATCTCCCTGGGTTTGCCCGTTGGCGCCGTCATGAACTGTGCTGATAATACAGGTGGGTAGTAAAATGGATAAATAATTTTTTATGGAAAGCATGCTAATTTCATGAATTCTCTTGTTTTTAGGTGCCAAGAACTTGTATGTCATCGCTGTTCACGGTATCCGTGGTCGTTTGAACCGTTTGCCCGCCGCTGGTGTCGGTGATATGTTTGTTGCTACTGTTAAGAAGGGTAAACCAGAATTGAGAAAGAAGGTAAGTTCTGGTGTGACCAGTGTGATGAATTTACTGGAAGAAGAAGAAGGATGATGAGTGGATTGTGATCAAAGTCAAGGAATGTGTTTTTGCGAGCCTGACTCGTAAATGAGGAGTTTTACCAACCTTAAGATGAAGGAGAAGGATGATATTGACGCCACTTTGTGTTAAAAAGGGGAGAGGTATCAACCAACAAAATTGTGCACGGCTTTATAAAGGGGACTAAGTATCGTTTATTGTCGAAATAGCATTAAACCCCCCGTGTTGAGAAAATAACCTACAACTTCTTTCCCCAATTTGTTTCAAAATATTCCCTTGCAAAACTGAGCTTGTTTTTTTGAGACGGTCTTGTAAATTGGAGCTACCCAACCGTTTTTAGAACATTCTTCAAGCAAGTCAATGTTTTGGGAGGTGGATTGAAATCTCTATAGCTTTTTGGGCAATAATGAAGCTTAAAAAAACGAGAGTTAGTGAATATTCTGCCGGGAATTTGGTTCCTGCTATTTCCAAAAATTTAACCCGTGTAACTTGACGATTCTTGGAAACCCTTGATAACGAGCCCTTAATAGCTTTTTGTATTGCACGTGTAAAATCACAACAAAAATAATTTAACCCGAGCCAGGAAACCTCATACCAGGAAACTTGGCAAGTGTCCCGTCTAACTTCTATTCCCTGCAAAAAATATTTGACAGGACTTTAATATCTCCCTCTAATATCGTTGCTAATATTTATACCGACAACAAAAGTCAACTATTTCCTCCAATTTGGGCCGATCAACGGCATCTGGGAAACAAAATGTTCCCTCATATCTCAGCAAATAATACCGGCCTTAAATCCCAAAATTGAACTTCACATTTTGTACCCAGTATCTTGATGATTTTTTTTTCTTCAAAATTTTTTCTTATGCCTTAATCGACCACAACTTGAACAACACAATCCATTCACGTCCTTTCAACCATTATCATTACACTCATTTCATCAACAATACTTATTCTTCTCCCATTCTTCTCTTTCCAGGTAATGCCTGCTGTGGTAATCCGTCAAAGAAAACCTTTCAGAAGGAGGGATGGCGTTTTTCTCTATTTTGAGGATAATGCGGGGGTGATAGTAAACAATAAGGGTGAAATGAAAGGTTCAGCTATCACCGGTCCCGTTGCTAAGGAATGCGCTGACTTGTGGCCCCGTATTGCATCTAACGCCAGTTCGATTGCTTAAATACCGTTTATTTTTGATTTAATAAAATAAGAAGAGACCACAGAACAAACATGTATTTTGAATTTTCTTGTTTTTATTTTATTTTAATTTTATCCTTGTAGGAGTTTTTCATATTATCATCTCATCAATCTCAAAATCTCATCGCTTACAAACTACAATTACAAAGTTAGTTGGTATGGAGGAGATTAGGTTTCGTTGGATCAGTTGTAGAAGTATACACAGAGTTTGCTGCCTCACTTCTTGGCCTCGGTGCGAACTGTGGGCTTGGGCCGGGTAACCTCCAATGATATTTTGCCAGTGGCTCCCTTAAACAAGGCATAGCATACCTCAAATGTACAACCTTCTAGGGAATCACCATTGAATTTGGTTATAATATCGCCGCGTTGTAGTTTATTATCAATATCAGCATAGCCCGCAGAGGTCTGCAACAGGGGGTAATTATTGTAAAACATGTTAATAAAATCTGTAATATTTACTCACGATTTCAGAAATTGTGCATCCTTTTGCATTGGGAGCCAACGATAGACCAATATCTTTGCCCGGTTTCCTATTGAATTCAACCTTAAAGGTTTCCACCTCTGGGGGATCGGCTCGATAAACTTGTACGGTTAGAAGATTTTCATAGCACGTATGGAATGCCTGATGCACCTTGAGTGTTGTCATCGATGTACAGTCCATTTGTTTACCCTGAACCTCAATTATGTGATCGAAGATTTGTAAACGATTGTCGGCTGCAATGGCACCCTCCGGATAGATGTGTGTTATAACACAACCAGTCTGAAAGGGAATAGGGAGACGAAAAAAAATTAAAAGCATGGAAAGACTGTGGAGTGCATATCTAAGTATTTCTATGATATAAAAGATTTTTTTATAGAGGAACTAGAAGAACTCTTATTTACATTTCAAAGGGTTTCCCTACATTGAAGACATCTTAAATGTATGATGTGGACATGTCTATAAAGATCTATGGATATAAGACCTCTCATCGAGAAATAAGACAGACATTTTAAGGAGACATCTATGGATCTTTTAAAGATCTTCCTTTTGAAGTTATTTTATGGGAAGGAGACATTGTTTAGCCTTCTACAAAAGATCTTTAAAAAGGACATAAAAATAACTTCAAAAAAAAAAAAAAAAAACTGCTGCAAAAATAAAACTGATTAAAGGTATCTGCATAAAGAATATATTTTAATAGTCTTCCACGGAAAGAGGACATTCGAAGAATCTTCAAAGAAGAGGTCTTGAATAGGAATCCTACATAAATAGGGCTTTTATAAAAAGGCTGCCTTCTGAAGGTCTTCTATATGAAGAAGGTCGTTGAAAGAACGATAGGCAGAATGCCTTTTTAGGCTTTTATAGAAAAAATAACCTTAAAAGATCTAAAGAAAGGAGAACTTTTCAAGTTTTTCATAGAAGCCTTTTGAAGTTTTCCACAGGAAAAGGACCACTTATTGGTCTTTTAAAATATTTAATCTGCACAAAGGAGATTTTTTAAACATTTTTCGCAGAAAGTAGACCTCTTAAAGGTCTTCTACAGAAAGAGTCTTGGCAATTTTTCCAAAGAAAGAAGACCTTTTGGGGATTTCTATAAAAAATAACGCTCTTTAGGGGTATCTACAAAAAGAAGGCATTTTTTAAGATCTTCCATAGAAGGAAAGCCTTACAGAAAGAAAAAACTTTAAGGTCTTCCATAGAAATGATACTCTTAGAAGATCTTTTATATGAAGAATATCATTTAAAGGTATTCTATAGGAAGAATGCCTTTCATAAGACTCCTATAGGGACAAGATTTTTTGAAGGTCTTCTGTAGGAGGAAGAAATTTATTCTTCAGAAAGGCAACCTCTTAAAGGATCTCTACAGGAAACTCCAAAAGGGATCTACAGAAAGAACACACTTTACAGTTCTTCAGTTCTTCTGTAGAAGGAAGGTCTTTTAAATGTTTTTACAGAATGGTCTCTTTTTGAAGGTCTTCTATAGGAATTGTTTTCTATGTATGGAAGACACTTTTAGATCTTTGGAGGTAGAAGAGACAAAATGTCTACCACAGAAAGAAGACTTTTTAAAGGACCTCTGACGGAAAAATATTTTTAGAACTCTTCTTAAATATCTGTTAAAGAGAACTTCAATATTCAGAAGTCCTCTTAAAGTACGAGCTTCTAAAAATGTTATATAGATCACATGAGTTCGCTGATAACAGGTCTTCTAAAAACCATCAGCATTTTACAGGTTCTCTATACACAAAAAAAATCTCTCCGTTGAGAGATCCCTTTTTCATGATATCATTTTTAAATCCTCCACCATAGTATGGCGAAGTTTGTCATTCCGTTTGTAGCACCTCGAAACATACATTTAAGACCCCACAAAGTATCTATATATATTCTTGATCAGCATAAAATTCTATGTCGATTTAGCGATGTCTGTCCGTCTGTGGAAATCACTCTAGCTTCTGAACGAATTGAAGTAGATTAATAAAATTTCACTCAAATGTATATTATGTCTGCAGGACTTTTGGTATTGAAAATGGGCCATGTATATTCACGTTTTGGTATAGCCCCCATATAACATTATCTCCCTATTTTCAGTGTTTTGATGATTTAAGCGACATTATTCACCCGAAATGTTTCAAAATTTGTATTTAAAGTTCGTAATGAATACCACAGCCTAAGACAGAAAATTGTCTGTGCAGGTCCACATCTTCGTATAGCCACCATATAATGGTACCTCACGGCATTCGGTATTTAGATGATTTTAGCGATGTTAGTCACCGGAATTGTTTCAAATTTGGTATTTGAAGTTCGTAATGGATACTACAGCCTAAGAGGTCCACGTCTTCGTATAGCCTCCATATAATGGTATCTCCCTATTTTCGGTATTTTGGTGATTTAAGCGACATTTCCGGTGAATTTGTTTAAAATTTGGTATTTGAAAAGCGTAATGAATGCTACAGCCTATGACAGAAAATTGTCCGTGCAGGTCAACGTTTTGGTATAGCCCCCATATAATGGTACCTCCCGATATTCAGTATTTTGATGATTTTAGCGAGATTATTCACCGATTTTTTTCAACTTTCGCATTTGGATATTGTAATGGCTTATGACAAATGTTGCCTATGCAGGTCCATGTCGTCGAATAGACCCTAATATAATGGCAACATTCGGTATTTTTAGAAAGGACCTTCGGACCAGAGATCTGAATTTTGAAAAAATCCGTGACTTTTAAAGTACTGTGAAGGTCATAGTCCCAAAAACAATATTTTTTGGGGGGGCTGTCAGGACCATAGACGTGTATTTTTGAAGAATAATCGGGCCATAGATGTGAATTTTTTAAAATGAGGAAATCTTGAAGATTGTTTTCTCTAGAGGAGCTCTTGAGGGGGTTTTGTATCCTGAACGTTGCCAGTGGCCAAAAGGTGATTTATTAAAATATTTTAAAGAACTGTCAAAGGAGAGTTCTGGACTTTGAATGAATTCATTTAAAGAACTCTAGAGATAGATATTTAAGAATATTTTTAAAGGTCTGTCAAAGTTCTGGATTTATAAATAATATTTTTGGGGGACTATCAGGGAAAGTATAATCGGGCCCATAGGTGTGGACTTTTAAGGAAAATGTTTCCAAGGATCAGGATTATACCAATGGATTTATAGGGTAATTTTTAAATGCCTATCCGAGCAATAGACTTGGATTTTTAAGAAATATTTTTTGAACGACTATATGTGTGGTATTTTAGGGCAAATTTTTAAAAGGCATAGACTTGGATTTTTTAAAAAATATTTTCTAAAGGACTATCAGGGCTATAGGTTAAGATTTTCTTGGAAAATGTTCTAAGAACTAGTATTAAAAATTATCACGGCAATTGTCATGGATTTTTAAGGAATAGTTTAAAAGGACATTCAGTGCCTCTAGACAAGAAATTTAAGGAGCATTTTTAAAGGACTTTGGAGGCCAATTTTTCACAATTTTTAAAGGGCTTCCGGGTCCATAGTCCTTGATTTCTCTGACAATTTTAAGAAGGCATCCACTAGACTGGATGTTAATGGATCAGGGTAATTTAGGCATAGTCCTTGATATTTTGGACAATTTTAAAAGGAAATTCAGCACTGTTTTTTAAAACGGGGAATTTCAGGGTCAATTTCTGTCAAATTTTAAAGTGCTATTTGGGACATAGCCCTTGATTTTTGGACAATTTTAAAAGGGCATTCAGTACCACAAGACTGGATATCTTTAGAGGAATTTCAGGGTCAATTTCTACCAAATTTTAAAGTGCTATTTGGGGCATAGTCCTTGAGTTTTGGAAAATTTTAAAAGGACATTCAGTGCCACAAGACTGGATATTTTTAGAACATTTTTAAAGGACGTTGAGGGCCAATTTCTAACAAATTGTTAAAGGGCTATCAGGGGCATAGACCTTGATTTGTTGGACAATTGAAAGATTTTTTGGGCATGGGAGATATTTTTCAGTTTCCCCATAAATATATGCCATTTATATCTTTCTACTCTAGTCCCTGACGTACCTTAACATGATTATTTTTACCACCGACGACAATAACGCCTAACGGCTTCTTCTCCACCTTCATTTCAATGACCATTTTGGTATTTGGTTTCACAGGGGCTGTGGCAGGATCAATCTTTTCGGGCTCCTTTGGTTTTTCTTCTTCCTTCTTTTCCTCCTTCTTTTCCTCCTTCTTCTCCTCGGGTTTCAGCGTCAAGACACAGAGATTGACAACACCTTCTGCTCGTTTGAGGAGAGCAACGGCCTAAAGAAGATATGGAGAAAAAATTAAAATATATATGTGATGGAAACCGGTTCGATTCGATTTGGGAATTCGAAATTGGATATATTTTGGATGATGATTCTTTGGTGAAAATATGGAAATCTCAAGACCAGTTTAAGGTAAGTAAATGAATTTGTTTGCATAAATTTTGTTTAAGAAATTAATTTTAAATATTTTTTTTCAGAATTTAAATGTGCAGCATTACCTCATCATAGGTGGATTCCAGGGTTACATCCTTGTTGACGGCCAGTAGCATGTCACCGACTTTAATGCCAGCCTAAAAAAAAAGGTTAAATAGCTTAACAACCAACTTTGACTTGGCAAAGCCATTGCCATATCTTACCTCCTCGGCATTGGAGCCCTCACGCAAATCGGATATGAAAATACCATTGCCCACCTCAACGTGTTTACCATAGATGATCATAATGCCAATGAAACCCTCTTTCTTTACGGCTACCGTTCGGGCTTTGGGGAATTGATCGAACAAGAATTTGGTCTAAAAAAGACATGAATTTTAACAAAATTTCCTTAGTTCGTGCCAGAGTTCCTTACATCATCAATTTTCGGTGGAAATTGTTTGACGGGCTTAACACTCATTCCATCATCACTGGGTTTTCTGCGCGATGTTATCAAAACAATTTTCTCCGTGACAATATTTTTAAAGACCACCGAGGCATTTAAATGGCAACGATTTTTGAGGACAACACCATTCACTTCGACAATTTCATCGCCCGGCTTGATATCCAATGAGGCGACTAGACCCTCGGGATCAATACCGGCCACAAAGCAAGCCATTTTCTGACGATCCACATGACCGGCTAAGGCCATACCCAAAGGTGTGTTGGCGGGTCTAGTTAGCTCTACACGTCGCACATCCTTTAACATGTTATAGCGTTTGTTGATTTTAGCTGGGGATAAGAAAAGAAGAGAGGGTTATTCGAGGGGATTTAAATATATTTAATGAGTGGACAATAGGAAATATGGGAAAATTAATCGGAATCTTAACCTCATTGGGAAATGAAGGATTGAATTATGATACTGCAACCATTTTACTCACCCATGGTATAGCCAAATTCATCTTCCTTTTCCTTATCACGAGCCTTTTCTACATTATTTAGTTTACAATTACCGGCAGAAGCACGATCAATCTGTGGAACAGCAATAATTTAAAATTAAAAATTATTCTAATAACTCTGAAGAGGTTTCCTATGAAGAAGGATATAAAAAAGCATCTTCCGCCTAAGGAGGATTTTTAAAATTTTTATATTTTTAGAAGACTTTTAAGTGACCTTTTGAAGATCCTAGAGGGAAATTATAAAAGGTCTTTAAGAAGTCTTTTAACTATGGAAGTTCTTTTTAGACGATTTTTGACAAATTTTCCATCTGCAAAAAGTCTAAGGGAGGTATTTATGAAGTCCATTGTCTATAGAAGACCTTTGAGACGTAGTTCTCTAAGCAAGGATTTAAGGTCTTAATCAGTATAAATTTTATGAATTTTTTAGAAGTTTCTGAAAGACATATTCTTTCCTGTAAAGAAGGCTATCAGAGGTTTTATATTTTTTTGAAGACTTATGTGAGGTTTTTGGAAGATATTTGAGGCATATTCTATATACAGGGTGAGATAAAAAAACTGCAACAAAGTCCAATGCCATAATTTTTACATTTTTTTTAAATTTTATTGAATGAAAACAAAAAATGTCGGAAATAGCATCAAACTTTGGAATAACTTTATATTTGTTCGAATTGGTCACCTTTAGCACGAATTATGGCCTTCAAATGGCCAATGAAACCCTGCCCGAATGTTGCTCAGCGATATTTTGGCCCATTCCCGGCGAAGCGCTTGCTTGAGGTGATCGACACTTTGGTATTTTTTAGTGCCAACCTTGCTTTCCAAAATACCCCAGACACAATAGTCCAATGGATTGGTATCCGGAGATTTTGGTGGCCATTGTGCGAGGCTGGAAATGAAGCGAGGAACCTCATTTCGCAACCATTCCTGGGTGGCCCTTGCTGAGTGCGTTGGTGCTGAGTCCGGTTGAGTTTGGTCTGCGGCCAAAATGTTTGCGTGTCCAAGGCTTTAATACACCATCCAGAATATTTTCGCGATAATATTCGGCATTTAACCTGATGCCACGGTCGATTAATACGAGCGAGGAGAGCGACCATCGGCTGTTATGGCGGCCCACACCATCACCATGGCCGGCTTGAGGCTTGATTTCTGGTGGCCAACCGAAGGTGCACATTTTCAATTGACCTCCTTGGCAAGTAAACACAAGCGGATCATTTTGTTTGTTTACAAACTGGTGGACAACGAATGTTTTCCCATCGGAGAAAACCAAGTTCGGCAGTTCACCACTTTCGGCCAAGCGAGGCAACGCTTTAGCTCTTTTGTTGCGGTTTAAGTTCTTGCACTTTTTGGAATTTCAATGGCTTTATCCCGACCTCATTTTTCAATATTTGCCGAATGGAATATTGCGATATGTTCAGCCACTGCGACGCGGGTTTCGAACAAGTCGCTTCTTTACTTTTCGAACCATTTCTGCTGACGTTGCTGTTTTCTTCCGTCCACTTCCTTGACGTCGGGCTACGCTACCACGCTATCACGGTAACGAGCGATGGTATGAGACACAAGAGATTTATTCTCATTTAAACACTGGAGTGCTCTAACGAAAACTTTTCACGAATAACTTTTTTTCTGGAAAATTCTCACCAAAATGCTTTTGTAGGGATGTAAACAATATAATGAGCTGTCACTGGAATAATTTTAACAGCTGTCGGACGAGTGACTTAGGAACGACAGCGGTCTAAAGTTGTTTTTTCATCTCACCCTGTAAATTCATATCCTTTGGTCTTCTGTTTATAAAAGGTCTTTACTAGGTCCTCTAACAATTAAAGATCCTTTAGACGATCTTTGACAGTTTCGATGTCTACAAAAGGCTTTCAGGTGATCTTTTTTGTTTAGGCCTTTGAAACGCCTTCTTGTATGGAAGATTTTGAAAAGCTTCCATATCAGTGGAAAATCTTTGGAAGGCTCTACAATTAAATATTGACCCACAGAAGACTCTCAGAAAAGTTCTTTCCCCCGTAAAATTATAATATCCTCCTTCAACTCACCTCAATACCCGCTTCTGTCCTAATGCGACCGGTCATATCACGTTCATCCTCCTCATCGTCATCACCACCACCGCCTCCGCCACCCGAAGGTCCACTCGATATTGTCGCCGAATAGTTGGTATTTTTCAACATCGAATTGACATTTGGCGGTTTGGGAGCCGGTGCCTGTTTAATCGATTGCTGAAATTTATTCTTGTTCATTGCAAAGCCATTCTCCACCGGTTTATTGCTGTCGCCTCCCTTGTCCTGATCCACAGATTGTATCTCCAAATTGATGACAGTGCCGGCATCTTTGATGAGTAGAATTACTTCGGGTTCGGTGGCATTTCGTACATCGTTGCCGTTGATCGATAAAATGCGATCACCGACCTGGAAGTGAGGTTATGAGAATTTTTTTTATTAAATTTATAAATTAAAAAAAATGTAATTAAAATGTACCTTTAATTTTCCACACAACTGTGCCGGACTGTCCGGAACTATGCCCTTGATGAAAATGCCATTTGTCTTCGTATTGGGTGAGTCTTTGATCTGAAACAATAAAAGTCATTTTATTATAAATATAAAATAAAAAATTTCATATGTAATATTAATTACTTACCTCACCCCTTACTATGCTTATGCCGAAAGATTTCTTTCCAGTTTTATCTAAAGCTACCGTAAAAGCTAAAATAGAAAAATAAAAAAAAAAAAATATTTTGAATATTTGATATGAAATAATCGCCTCTGGCTCGTACAACATCGCAATTCACATGCCCATCATTCCAAATAAACAACCCCTTTGGTTTGGCTCGATGCACGTTACGATATAGTTCTCCGATTGCGATACAACCCCGAATTGTATATCAGAATTTCCTTATTGCTGGTGGACATATATATAAAAAAGACGTGGCCTATTTGTTCCCAAAATCTAAGAATCCCATGATACGACGTTGTCAGGCTTAGAATAAAGAATTAACAAGTCGGTATATAGTTAAAGGTTTAAACCCTCAGCGTATGGCCGCATACAACAATACAGGTTTGAGCTATGTGTAAACCTTTAGTAAATGTTCCTCTCCGTTAATTTATAAAAAAATATTAACATATGTACTGTTGTACTAGATTCTTGATTTGGGTAGTTTCGATTTTATCAGCCTATTAGTATTTTTAAAATGTTATTATATTTGTAGCACCTCTAAATATTCGCTGTAGGCCCTATACAGTATATATACTCGTATTTTTAAGTCGATTTAACGATATCCGCCTGTCGCCCACATTATTTCATGTAGAGTTTTTAGATTTTATACAATAGTTTGTATAGGATGGTTGGTATTGATAAAAAATATATCGGTCCAAATTTTTGTACAGCCCCCATGTAACGGCACCTTCTGACATTCCATATTTTGATGATATCAACTACATTTTTCCACGGAATTGTTCCAAATTTGGCGTTAAAAGTTTGTAAAAGGTTCTACGTTCAGTGGCAGAATATTGTCGGCATATATCCACGTTTTGCTATATCCCCCATATAACGGTATCTCCAGATATTTGGTATTTTTACGATTTAGACCTAATTTTTTATGAAAATTTCGTATTTTCAGTTCATAATGGGCTCTATAACTTCTGTCATTCATTCATTTATCAACCCACTGATATTCGGTATTATGATGACCCTATCTACACAGAATTGTTTTAAGTTTGGTGTTTAAGACTCACAACTTTTGTAGTAGAAACCATTTTGGTATGGACCCCAATATATATCTGTTCTACGCAGTTTATTGTATTTTGAAATCTATAACTACATTTTCCAACCGATCTGACTGGTATTTGCAGTTTATGGTGGAAGAGATATCAGATACTTTTTTAAAATTTTTTAAAAATATGTATTTTCCAGAAAGTGGAAATTATTGAAAGTTCGGTCCTGCCGTACTTAATGTTTTTCTCAATGCTAGTAGCATTTTTACCATTTTTGTGGTTCTGGTGATTCAACATATTTTCAAGGAATCAATATCATAAAGTACAAAAGTTGTAGCGTATGTAGACGGTGTTGTAAAGGTTAGATAAAAAATTCCCACAAACTATGTAATGTTTTCAGACTATGAAGTTGGACACACGTCAATTTCTCTCGCTGTAAACCCATCTAAACCATACCCATCTAAACCCATAATTTCTGCTACCAATGCTGCAGCATTGTTTCGGAGAACAAAACCCTGGGAATTTTCTTCGATCAATAATTTAGATGAAAGAAAAATATCGAAAAATACTTAAGTTTTGGAATGTCTTGAAAATTCAGTATAGTAAAACTTACAGCTGTGTACAATTTTTTCTGAGTGTGTCCGACTTCAAAATCATTTTTCCTTTCGTTTGGAATTTTGGCGAAAGGAAATATATTTTGGGTTTTTGTAGTGCATGTTTTTGTGTGAGTGACAAACACAAGAAAGCCTTCTTCCCCTTTTTTTTTTGGTTTTTGTAACGAAAAAATACAAACGAAAATGTCAGAAAAAAAAACGATGGAAGGAGACCCATAGTTTTGAACAGAAATTGGCTGTGTGTTACAGAATCTCGCCAAAATTAAAATAGTTCATGTATAAATTCCCCATCATGACGCGGAATTTATACATTAACTGTTTTTTACATATCAACTTTTTGTTAGCGGATCTTGCAGAACAATATTCTTTAAATGTTTTTTTTTTTTTGAGATTTTTAAATTTTATTTTACAATTTTTTGATAAATTTTGAATTTATTGGGGTTGCCGCAACCAGCACAACTCCTAAGGAAATTAATAAAAAATTAAAAAAAAATAATGGTTATGGAAACACTGGCATATCAAAGATTTTCGAGAATGGACGAGAGCTTCCAAAATATTTATAAAGAATACGTTCGAATTCTTTTTAATTTGAGTTTTTATAAATATTTTGGAAGCTCTCGTTCAGAACGATTCGATTTAAAGTTACTTTTTTTTAACAAAAACAGGCTGTAAATCAGGGCAAGTCAAAGAGAGTCCCATGGGATGTTTTTGTGTTCAGCAACACAATTGTAAAAAATGTTGTTGTCAATTTTTTCAAAATGGTTTTATAACGATTATAATATTGTATTAAAAATTTATTTTCTTAATTGTACAAGGCTTATTTTTTTACATCGATTTTTTTATCGAATAGAATTTGTGTACTAATCTACATGTTATAACCAATTGAAGTTGTCTAAAAACTGAAACTTACAAAATAGTTCTCTCTGTTTATAGAGAGGAAAAGAAATACTTGCAAACATTTTTTTTAATAAAAACGCATACAACCACGAAGTTATTTTTATATGCTCTAACTAGCCCTGGTCTAAATTTACAACAAGAGAACACTTAAACATTTTTGTATCCTCTCTGATCTTTGAACTCTCCTTCCAATCAACACACGTATAATGTTTATTATTTGATACTTTTCCACTTTAGGATTAACACAATGTACCGATCGGTCTCCGATTGGAGTAAGTGTCTTTTACACAGCTGCACGATCTTTGACATAACCTAATTTTCTCATCTTGATTTCCATGAAATGTTGACTTCATTTGAAAATGTTTTCATTTTGTAGGGTAGGTACTAAAAGCAGTGTACAGATATATACCATTTTATAATAGATCTAATCTCATTATTACAAATTTTGAGCCATGTAGGTGGAATCAGTCTGCCATGGAATGAATTTTGTCCAAAAACAGTTATTTCGAAGAGATACATTTTAGATGTATCTGGTGACATACAAATTGTTTAGTCATTAGGCCATTGGGTATGAAAACCACAGATCGACGGTCATGGCTAAATCTTAATAGAATTGTATTTGGCTATACAAAAACGTGAACCGATACATATAATGCTTCGGTAACGGAGCTAGGACCCATTAGGACACACAAATACTAATTTTTAGACAAATCCGCGAAGAAATGTGGCAAAAATCATCAAAATACCGAATATCGGGAGGTACCGTTATATGGGAGCTATGCCAAAACGTGGACCTATACGTGCAATGCTTCGCTACCGCAGGCAGAATCCATTATGACCAACAAATACCAATTTTTAGACAAATCCATGAAAAAAATTTGACAAAAACCATCAAAATACCGAATATCGGGAGGTACCATTATATGGGGGCTATACCAAAGCTTGGATCCATACATACAATATTTAGCCACATGAACTACGATCCATTATGACCTACAAATACCAATTTTCAGACAAATCCGTAAAAAAAATGTGACAAAAACCATCAAAATACCGAATATGGGGAGGTACCGTTATATGGGGACTATACCAAAACGTGGACCGATATATCTCATTTTCAATACTAACCATCCTAGACACAATACAAATTGTTCTGCTAAATGTTGACGCTCTACGTCAAATAATGAGGGCTTTATCGTGATTTCAACAGACAAACGGACATCGCTAAATCGACTTAGAATGTTATGCTTATTATGAATATATATACTTTAGGGATGTTACAAACGGAATGACAAAGTTAATATACCCTTCTTTCCAATGTGGAGGGTAAAAAAAAGTCATTACATTGCAAAATTTAAAATTGAACTTTAACCTTAAATTCCTCAACAGGCACTGCATGGATTTTTTTAGGGAACTCCTCAACGGCAGCGATGCCAACTTAGTGCTTTTCGTGCTATTTATGGTGCTTTTCAGACCCCCCAAAACGCCAAAATAGTAGGCATAGCGCGAAACGGAAAAAAAAAGCGCTGTACGTACGCTTTTCATATTTTCTGTTGGTGCTTTTAGCGGGTTTTAGATTTTAAAATGACGCAATGTTTATACATTCGAATGTTTCGATAGTATGGCATCTACTTATCGCAAGTTCTTTACTGCAAATTCTTTACGAGTCTTTCATTCCTGTCATTGAAGTTCTTTTGTTTACATGTAACTCTTTTTTAATAAACCAAAATAAAACGAAGAATTTTGTGTATTATAAACCAATTGAAGGAAAGGTGAAATGAACGAGAAACAAGTTGAAAAGCGGTAAGTTCGACAGGGCCGAACTTTAAATACCCTCCACCATTTGCAACGAATTTGGAAATTTTCAAAAAATAAAATCCTTAAAAAATTCTGTATACATTTTAAAAATACCGAATATAGCCGTTTTACTAGGGTCTATACGACGTGGACCTACATAGGCATTGTTTGTCATATTCAATTCAAATTCGAAAACTTGAAATAAACGGTGAATAATGTAGCTAAAATCATCAAAATATCGTATATAGGGAGGTTCCGTTATATCGGAGCTGTGCGAAGACCTGGACCAGCATAGACAATTTTCTGTCACATAGTGTAGATCCCATTACGAGTTATAAATACGTAATTTGAAACAATTCCGGTTAATAATGTCGCTAAAATCATCAAAATACCGAATATAGGGAGGTACCGTTATATGGTGGCTATAGGAAGACGTGGACCTACATGGCCCATTTACGAACTTAACCTGCCTACTGAAAAAGTAAACATGTGTGCAAAATTTTAGCCTTATATCTCAATTCGTTCGAAAGATAGCGTGATTACAACAGACAGTCAGACGGACAACGCCAATTTGACTTAGAATTTTACGCTGATCAAGAATATATATACATTGTTGGGTCTGACATGAGTATTTCGAGAAGTTACAAACGGAATGACAAAGTTAATATACCATCCATAGTATGGTGGAGGGTTTAAAAATAACGTAAGTTCATACATGGCTTCCTTGTTGTACGAGTTTACAGAACTTCAACTGCATTTGAAGCTATGGATTTTATGGGTGAACATAATTGTTTGTAAAAATGTAGGTCTGCAAGTTTTAACCACATGTTAAAACTTCCTAATATATCATATTTTTTTAAAAATATGTATGCACTTATATGCATGAAATATTTATATGACATTTTGGTTAGAAAAAAATACATAGCGCTTTTTACGCTTTTTAAGGAAAGTTTTTACGCCATTTACGCTTTTCTGGTTTTTAATAACGCTTTTAGCTCGCAAAATGTTGGCAACACTGCTCAACGGTCACTGCATGGATTTTTTATGAATCATACATTGAAGGATACCTATAGACTATGACAACATTTTTATCAGAACTAAATGGAAATATTTCACAATTAATACATCTATTAATCAGAAACTATCAAAGACGCTATTTTTTACTTGGCCAAATTTTTCTAGTCATTTTTTTTTTAAAAGAGAGCATTATTCCATTAGCATTAGTTTTCAGATACAGAAACTGTTTTCCAGAGAAAAACAAAATACAGAAATGATGAGAGCAGTAGATTCTGATACGTTTTGAAACGGGCCTATAGCAAATAGATGTTCCAAATTTGGTTAATCTTCACGTAATCTTAAGGCCGGACTTTAGTATTAATTTTTTTTTTTTGGATATAAACACTTTGTTCAGACCATTGACAGGTTGTTGAGTTCTGCATTTTAAAGAGAGTTCAATCTAACTTCAATATTAAAATTAATTCACAATGGCTAAGAAAAATAATAATTTAATTTAAACACAACTCAAGTTATCCAATATTTTTATTGTAATCCTCATATTTGTGTAGGGTTTCATTATTCAATTTATCGTCCAGTCGTCCAGTGATTATGCAGTGGTATAATGAACAGGGGCTACACAGTCACAGGGCAAACACAGTCACATATAACAACACACAGGCACGTGATGTTATGAATAAACCGTTATTTAACTGGGCTCTTTATTTTTATACAGAGAAAAAAAATAATTATATATATATTTTTTTAATTTTCACAAAAAGAATTAGTATTTTCTGTACATATTTTTTGTATCATATTTTTAACTTCTGAAAATTGTTTTCAGTATCAATTTTTATTTTTTCCATATATTTTACAAATTTTAATTCCATACTAATTACTTATTTTTTTCCTTAATTTTTATTGATTTTCTTCTCATTTCAAATCTCAGCACAATTTTCAATATATTTTCTCTTTGGGTTATATAAACACTTTAATTAGTTTAGTTCCACAATCATTCAATGAAACTCACCACCACCCCCGGAATTCAGTTGCACCATTTCGAAAAGTCGTTTTTAATGATTTAAATTCAAAATTGAATTTTCTTTTTAACAAAACTCTTTCACGGCCAATTTTTTTCTTTTAATTCAATATCGAAACAGTGATAGGAAACTACTTTGGATTTCCTTAATACTGCGGAATGGAAAATCCCATGAGGAAGAAGAATGGCTAAATGGCTAAAACCACGATCCGTTTCCGATGAAGTTCGTTGGCAAACTAATTTGCATTTAGACTAGCCACTCGGAGGCGACTAACTGACTTAGTGGATGGCTAGATGGCTGGCTGCCTAGCTGGCGATTGTTGTTTGTTTGCTTGCTTGCTTTGAATCTGCTAGAAGCAGAATATCGATTGTTGATATAATCTCTTGGAATGAGACGGCGATAGGCAATGGTTGTCTCAGTTCCATGGTTCGTACGTCCATTCGCTTATTCCAATAGAAGGTTATTCAAGTTATTTGGTAATCGAATTGAATGATTTTTTGTTAATTGATTGACTGCTTTTTGAAAAAAAAAAAAAAAAAAAAAAAACAAAAAATAAAAAGTGAAAATTCTTCTCCACCCAAAAACAAAAAGTGCGTTCTGGCAAACGCATTGAAAACGCTGAAAAAACGACTTTTGGTCTGTTGTTCTTTTGGTAGCTACTTTTGTCCCACTGCCTTTGTTTTTGCATTAAGGTCAAATTCTGGTCATTTAACCAATGTCTGCTGGCCTGAGGGAAGGCACTACACGCACCGCATGTCAATAGACCCTCAACCAGCGCCGCCGCCGAGAGAACTGGGGAAACCATAGAAATTCTGCGATTTCCAAAGAACAAGGAATGTAACAGAATAGGGCTGGCTATGGTTGGTAGGACGAGTAAAATAAGACCCATTTTTTGGGAATTTCAACACTTGATCTAGAGTGTGGAGAACTGAGATAATGAGCCTTACATGTAAAAGAATCCAAGCGGGGTGGCCAATTATGGGTAGAATAAAGAAGTGAGATGTCCTTAAGAGCCTAAGGCAGCGAACCTTTCCTTTAGGCAAGCTGTAGACAAAGAGCCTAGGCTAACTGGAAGTTGGGGAGCTAACGCTATAGACCAGCTGGTAGAGAGCTTACTTTTAGGTAAGTTGACGGCAAGGTGAGACCCTTGCCTATAGGCGAGCCGGAGGCAGGGTGATTCCCTTCGATATAGGCGAGCCGGAGGCAGGGTGAGACCCTTGGCTGTAGGCGAGTCGGAGGAAGTGTGATACGCTTGTATATAGGCGAGCCGGAGGCAGGGTGAGACCCTGGCTGTAGGCGAACCGAAGGCAGGAGGAGACCCTTGCCTATAAGCGAGCCGGAGGCAGGGTGAGACCCTTGGCTGTAGGCGAGCCGGAGGCAGTGTGATACGCTTGGATATAGGCGAGCCGGAGGCAGGGTGATACCTTTGGATATAGGCGAGCCGGAGGCAGGGTGAGACCCTTGGCTGTAGGCGAGCCGGAGGCAGTGTGATACGCTTGTATATAGGCGAGCCGGAGGCAGGGTGAGACCCTGGCTGTAGGCAAACCGAAGGCAGGAAGAGACCCTTGCGTATAAGCGAGCAGGTGGCTGGGTGAGACCTTTGCCTATAGGCGAGATGGAAGCCTTTCCCATACACGAGTTGAAGGCATGGGGAACCCTTCTTACTTATTGGCGAGCTGAAGCCAGATCTTTCCAAAAAAAAACAAGAGATTCGTAGGTATTCTCAGGGAAGAAAATATCCATAGCTGTTATCATTGAAGTGAAGAACCCTATATCTTCTCATAGAAGTGAAAATCTGCAGAAAAATCAAAGAAGAGAGGGTTCTTAGGTCTTTTCATAGAAATTAAGACCCGTACGTCTTCTCATAGAAGAGAAGGTCCATAGGTCCTCTCATAGAAAATAAGGTTCATAGGCCCGTAGGGGTTCTCATTGAAGAGAAGATCCGCAGGTCAACTCATAAAAGAGAATATCCGTAGGTTTTTTTATAGAAGAGAAGATCCGTAGGTCATTCCTACAGGAGGTCTTCAATAGGTCTTCCCATAGAAGAGATGATCCGTAGGTCTTCTCATAGAAGAGAAGATTCGTAGGTCTTCTCATACAAGAGATGATCCATAGGTCTTCGGATAGAAGTGAAGATCTGTAGGTCTTCTCATAGGCGAGAAGATCTGTAGGTTTTCGTAGGTCAATATGTCTTTTCATTGAAGAGAAGATCCGTAGATCTACTCATAAAAGAGTAGGTACCTGTGTTTTTTTAGAAGAGAGGACCAGAAGGTCTCCTAATAGAAGAGAAGATCCGTAGATATTCTCATAGAAGAGAAGATCCGTAGGCCTTCTCATAGAAGAGAAGATCCGTAGGTCTTCTTATAGAAGAGAAGATAAGTAGGTCTTCTCATAGAAGAGAAGATCTTGAGGTCTTCTCAAAGAAGAGAAGAGAGAGAGAGAACTAAATATCCGTACGTTTTATATAGACTATATTTTATTTTCATAGAAAAGAAGATCCGTTGGTCTTCTTATAGAAGAGAAGATACATAGGTCGTCTCAAAGAAGAGAAGATCCGTAGGTCTTCTCATAGAAGAGAAGATCCTTAGGCCTTGTCTTAAAAGAGGCTGTCCATAGGTCTTCTCATAGAAGAGAAGATAAGAGAGAGAACTACAGATCCGTAGATCTTCTCGCAGATTGTATATTTTTTTCATAGAAGAGAAGATCCTTAGGTCTTCTTCATAAAATGTAAGACCCGTACGTCTTCTCATAGAAGAGATGGTCCATAGGTAGAAAATTCGTGAAAAAAATCTCAAAGAAGACAAGATCCGTAGATTTTTTCATAGACGAGAAGGGAAGATTTTTTCCATTTTCTAATGAATCGGCTCTCCGATATCGTCATTCCTATTCCAGCCTGCATAGACATGTCGAATGAAAGTAAAAACGGAATTGGTTGATGTTGTTTCAGGTTTCGAAATAAGTAGTTTTTTACAATTTGCACAAATAAATCACACACACATACATACACACATACACATACACTCATTTAACAAACATTGGCCATATTATGGAGAAGAAGAATAAGAGGAAGAAACTACATGATGATACTACGTAAGACCGTTTACATGTAAATGTACATACACCTGTACATTCATTGGAACACTCATCCGTTGTCTTACGTTCATTTATTTCTTTTCCCCCTCAACTTGGTGTTTATAAATATTTTTCCAAAGATTTGTAAAATTTACCACTTTTTTGTGTCTTGTTTTGCATTTTTTCTTTACTTCGTCGTCTCACCTTCGTTACGTTCACGTTTTGGTGGTAAATATTTTTATTTTTCTTATCTACGTCACAAAACAATTTAGCAAAGATAGATGGATAGCAGAGGCATGCAAAGGTTTTTTTACATGATGTATGTAAGAATGCACATACATGTATGTATACATGTGTATATATACATGTATACATAAGCTACAAATGAATATTGTTTTCGGACGGTGTAATTCCACCTTGTGTGACTGCTTAAGACTGCTGCCCATTACGAAGGTGACACACACATCAACGACTCATTGGTCCGACCCAGTGCATTTTTACATCATTTCCTTGTTTGCATTTGCATTGTTTTCTCATTTCTTCTTCTCTATCTATGCATTTCTTAAGTGCTCCGCTGCTGCTCACTAATTTACTAGATTATTTTTTATTCGATTTATTTTTCATAAGCCATTTACAGAGCTTATGTGGCGTTGAGAGTTAAAATGGCTTAACTGTGGAAAAACAAGTTAAAAAGTACAAGTCGGTGACAGATGTATACCCTCAGCCAATGTTCGATTATTTAAACATAATTAGACTTTTGTTTGTTATTATTATTATTATTATTATTATTATTATTATTATTATTCAGGAATGGACCAATATTGTTCATTTCGTATCGGATCTTACTAAATACGATATAATTATTGCGGCGTGCCAGGTTTGGACTACATTGGTTACTCCTTCACTTTATATGAAACATGTGATAATTTTTATACCCTCCACCATACTATAGAGGGTATATTAACTTTGTCATTCCGTTTGTAACTCCTCGAAATAATCATGTCAGACCCAACAAAGTATATATATTCTTGATCAGCGTAAAATTCTAAGTCGATTTAGCGATGTCCGTCTGTCTGTTGTAATCACGCTATCTTTCGAACGAATTGAGATGGAAGGCTAAAATTTTGCACACATGTTTATTTTTCCAGTAGGCAGGTTAAGTTCGTAAATGGGACATGTAGGTTGACGTTTACATATAGCCCCCATATAACGGTACCTCCCGATATTCGGTATTTTGATGATTTTAGCGACACTATTCACCGGAATTGTTTCAAATTTGACATTTGAAGTCCGAAATGGAGACTACAGCCTGAGACAGAAAATTGTCTGTGCAAGTCCACGTCTTCGAATAGCCCCCATATAGCGGTACCTCCCTATATTCGGTATTTTGATGATTTTAGCGACATTATTTGCCGGAATTGTTTCAAATTTGGTATTTGAAGTTCGAAATAGATACAACAGCCTAAGTCAGAAAATTGTCTATGCAGGTCCACATCTTCGTATAGCCCCCATATAACGGTACCTCCCAATATTCGGTATTTTGATGGTTTTAGCGTCATTATTCACTGCAGTAGTTTCGAATTACGTATTTAAAGTTTATAATGGGAACTACAGTCTGTGACAGAAAATTGCCAATGCAGGTCCAGGTCTTCGTATAGGCCCCATATATCAGTACCTCCTTATATTCGATATTTTGGCGATTTTAGGTACAATACTCAATGAAATTGTTTGAGATGTCGTACTTGAAGTTCGTAATGGAAGCTACAGCCTGTGACAGAAAATTGTCTATGCAGGTCCAGGTCTTCGTATAGCTCCTATATAACGATACCTCCCTATGTACGATATTTTGCTGATTTTGGCTACTTTATTCATCGTGTATTTCAAGTTTCGAATTTGAATATGGTAATGGCTTGTGACAAACAATGCCTATGTAGGTGCATGTCGTACAGGCCCAAATATAAGGGCTATATTCGGAATTTTTAAAATGTTAACAGAATTTTTGGCGAATGTTTTCTTTTTCGAAAATTTTCAAGTTCGATCTAAATGGAGGAGGGTATTCAAAGTTCGGCCCGTCCGAACTTACTGCTTTTTTCTTGTTTTCCTTCAAAACGCTCCGTCATAGTCTATATATCTCTCCATATATTTGCCTATTTATATACATATATATTTCTGTGTATCTCCCATAAATAGAACTTTCGAAGGGGTTCCATCGATAAAAGTCCC